GAAGTCTAAGGAAGGTCAAGAGGAGGCAGAGAGAGAGATCCAGGAGGTCCAGATGATGCTTGGAGCAACGGAGGAGGCAGTTTCGGGTACCTTGGTTGCTGAAGGTGGGGTGCCAGCCCCAAGAGCCCCACAGGTTGATGGGCAGAGCCTAGGATTGCCGACAACTCCAGTTCTTGCAATGAAGCGCCCTGGAGGAGAGGGCTCAGAAGGATTCATTCCAATGGAGGTTCCCCCATTGCCATCAAAAGAGGACAAGGGCCCTCAGGAGGAGAGATCCCTGACAAAAACACCACCGCCACCATCGGCGGTCAAGAGTGAGCCTGAAGCAAAGAAGCCTCGAATGGAAAGCTTCAAGAAGCAGAGGATTGAGGAGGAAGGAGCTACATCGTCATCCAGCACGGCAGGGAAGGAGATGGTGGAACGAAGGGTCGAAGCAGTGAGCATCGAAGGGGACACTATGTATCATCTAGATGAAGTGATAGATGTGGAAGCCCTGGAAGTGGATGGTGTGCAAGATGATGTTGAAGACTTGAAGCCAGGAGCAATCCCTGATGCCCTATGGAGTGACGAACCCCTCAACAGGACACCACCTCAGCCTTCGCCCATCATCGAGCAGCTTGCAGACAAGGTGGAGGAGCAGAGGCTGAAGAGAATGGGGGTGCTCAGGTGCGGGGTGGCACTTGGTCACACAAGTGTTGCCGATGGGTTTCATCAACTCTGTTGCTATTGCCCAACATATACACCGCCGAGTGATAAACCAGGCACTGAAGGGTGACCTCAGGTTGGCATCAGGTCATCAGGAGATCCGCAGGGACCGCCCCCACAGCAGTGCACCGCACCTTTTCCGAGTGTACCTTGACAACTACGATGAGTTGAAGAAGGTTGACAAGGCCCTTGCGTCGGTTGTTGCAGGTACTCCTTCGGCATGGACGTTGGCGGTGCCTACATATGAGAACTTGGGGCTACCACGGCATCCAAAGAAGGCAGTGACTCAAGAGGCAAAGGCGGAGGTGCAAGGTGCCTGGGTCGATGGGGAACTGGGACAGGCGACACCGAAGGTGGAGAAAATCCTGAGGTACGTCAGGCTGGCCTGTGAGGCAATCATTGCAGGCAAGGCTTCACAGAGGGAGCTGCAAGTGATTGGAGGGGGCTTCGTGTACATGGCCATGTTTCGCAGACCGTTGCTAGCAGGCCTGAATGCGATTTGGCGACGCATAGTTGAGCTGGGAACAGGAGGTGAGCGACGGCGGGAAAGGCTAGGTTATGAGGTGGTGCATGAGCACCTTTGGCTTACATGGACTTCCGGACGCAAGTCTCAGAGCATGTGACCGCCAGCGATGCGTCCACGACAGGGGGTGGCTTGTGCGTGTCAAGGGAGTTGAGCCCCTATGGGATTGCGGTTAGCCTAGCTACTTGCAGGGGTGATGTGATCGCCCAAGATGAAGTTGGAGTGTCTTTGTTTGATGGCATAGGTGCACTTCGTGTGGCAGTAGATGCCCTTCGCGTGCCGGTGGCAGGTTATGTCAGCGTGGAGATCTGTCCGGAGGCAAGGCGAGTGGTTGAAAGCTGGTTTCCAGAAGTCGTTCACGTTGAGGATGTAGCCCTGATTGGGACTGACGAGGTGCGAGATTGGTGTCTGCGTTTCTCAGGCGTTGTGGCAGTTCTCTTGGGCGCGGGACCGCCGTGTCAAGGTGTTTCCGGACTTAACGTCGATCGACGTGGAGCGCTTCGAGATGCACGTTCCTGCTTGTTTGCTCATGTCCCGCGGATTGAGGAGATCCTTCGCAGGTGGTTCACGTGGTGTCCCGTCTTTACCTTGATTGAGAACGTGGCCTCTATGGATGCCAAAGATTGCACTCTGATGAACTCAGCGTACGGGCTTGAACCGTGGTGTGTCGATGCGTCAGGCGTCTCTCTGGCACGGCGGCCCAGGCTGTATTGGTTCAATTGGGACCCACGGCCGATGGAAGGGCTAACCAAGTCAAGCTCTTCCACGCTGCGCCTACCTGTGAAAGGCGAACTCCACCTCAAGGCCACATTGGACAGCAAGGACTTCTTGGAGCCAGGTTGGAAGCGCGTTGAGGAGGTAGGCCGTTTCCCAACATTCACGACAGCTCATCCTTCGCCAACTCCAGGACGCAAACCCGCGGGGTTGTCACTCTGTCCCTCGGAAGCCTTGCAACGTTGGCGTGCGGACCAACATCGGTTCCCTCCATACCAATATCGAAGGGAGAACTGCGTTGTAAACTCCCAGTCACAGCTGCGTGTTCCCAGCATCGTTGAAAGAGAAGCAATCTTGGGATTCCCAACCGGCTACACAACCAAATGTCTTCCAAAGGCTGAGTATGAGACTGAGAAGTGGAAGGATTATCGCCTCAGGCTTCTTGGAAATAGTTGGTCGGTTCCCGTGGTCGCGTGTTTGCTTCATTTGTTGTTCTTGACATTGGGCTTGGTTGATGAACTCAGTGTTGGTGACATCGTTGGACGACTGACTCCAGGCAAATGCGATGACTTGCCAGGTCTTTTGTTGAGGCCCCCACTGAGGCAAACCACCAAGGCAGGAGCAACAGAAGGAGGGCTTGTGCGTAAGTTGTTGGGACAAATCTCGGTCAAAGGTGAAGACATTCTTCTACAGATGTCCACGGACATTCCGGCAAGATATCGTCGCCTGAGAGCTTCTATTCCAGGGAAACTATGGAGATGGCGTGATGTCGTTGGCTGGCAGTGGAAAGGCGAGGCTGAGCACATCAATGCGTTAGAACTCCGGGCGGTGAAGACTGCCTTAGTTTGGCGCATCAAGGAGCTTCAAGAGAGTGATGCCAAATTCCTACACTTAGTTGATTCGTTGGTGGTACTGCACGCCCTTTCCAGGGGTCGTTCCAGCAGCAGGAAGCTTAGGAGGACGTTGGTGAAGATTGGTGCGTTGATGCTTGCAAGCGGCCTTCATGGCGCATGGGGATACATTGATACAAAGCAAAACCCGGCGGATAAGCCATCCCGCCGGCCTGTGCGTAAGGGATGGCTAAGAGCAAGAAGAAAATAGTTGAAGGTCGAAGCAAGCAACAACGCAAGGCAGTTCGAAAGAACCTAGGGAAGCTCAAAGATTTAACAGTGCAGCCTCGCACCAAACAAAGATATGAACTTTGTCTTCAGCAGTTCTTTGACTGGTTGACAGGGGATGGACTGACTCTCCCAAAGCGTGTCACTGACGTGGACCTCCTGGTCTCAGACTACTTTAGAGCACCTATGGGCTATAGGCGAAGGCAAGTCGGTCGCCAATAACACCCTCGCAGCCCTTCAAGATCGGGACCCAAATCTGCGTCGAAAACTCCCCGGGAGTTGGAGGCTTATGAAAGCCTGGGCCACGGCCGAAATTCCCAACCGAGCGCCCCCAATGACCTTAGCGCTGTTGGACGCTTTGTGCGGATGGGGGTGGCCTTTTTTTGGGTAGCCTTTTTTGGGGCCTGACTATTATAAGTCAGGTGCCCGACAAGGAGCAGCAGAATCCGTCACTGTCCACGATACTTCCGTTTTGCCTTCTTTGTACCGTTGGAAACAACAGGCACAGCCCCATGCCTACCTCACTGTAAAGCCACATGCTTGGCGACGCCTGTTCAATCAGGCACTTGAAGGGTTAGACCTCCTGTCTTTTGGGTACAGGCCCTACTCTCTCCGGAGAGGAGGGGCAACGTTCTTTTTTCAACACCACGGCAGTTTCGACAAATTGCTTGTCCTTGGGCGGTGGGCAGCCGCAAAAACTGCCCGTATATACATCAACGAGGGCTTAGCCCAGTTGTCCGAAATCAGCGTCCCTAGTTCGCGTCTGCGGTACTACCAATCTTTTTATGTCAAGCACCCGATCCTTGAGCCTGGGCCCCGGAAGGCGCCCAGGTCAGGGGGACGTGGAAAGGTTCGAAAACACTGAGTTTTTTCGCTTGAGGGTACATGTGAGAGTGAATGAAACCCTCAAATGTCTATCTGTTATTTCGGGGAAAGAAAGCAGGTAGACCCTCTCAAATGTGTTCGGGCTCATGGAGCGCCGGTTTGGCGGCAGCCGCCATGAGGGGCACAGGGGGGCACCCCTCTCCTCTGGTTTGGCGGGGAGAGAGGGGTGTCGGGGCCCCGAGAGGTAATC